TCATCCACAGACTGTACACAGTATATAAACAAATACAATTTGAAACCATAGCGAGAGGCAAGCAGTATACCAGAGCAACATATAAGATAATGGTGCTAAAGAAAAAGTATGTAATAGATTATTGACTCAGGGTCATAAACATAATTCCTGGCACTAAAAAAAGAGTTGTAAAGACATCATAACCAGTAAAAGGCTGTGCAAAACAATGTAATATTAAATAGACTAATATACAATTCCTCTCCCTCAGGTTCTCAGGCCTCCTGAGCCATCCACAAGCCAAAATCCAAAATTACATTATCCAATAGATCAGATTTAATTTACACAACTGTCTCTCCTTTGTATAGTTTTCCATTTTAGCAGTATTTGTTGTTGCAATGAGAGGCAGGTCAGCAGTAAAATAAATATGGAGAACAGGCTTATTTGCTTCAGCACTGAGAGTTTGTAGGCCATGTTGATGGACCCTAGTCGCCTGCCAAATGTCTCATCTGACTGGCGTGGAGGTTTGTTGCTCTCTTCCAAAAACACAGCCGACCACTCTTCATTAAAAAAGCAAATAGAAGCACACCCCAACAGAAAAGCAATACAAGCAAACAGAGCCAATTGGTTCTGAAGAGACAAATTTAACAGGCAGATATGATTACCTCAGACACCACTTCTCCCCTGATTCCACAAACAACAGTTAGGCAAGTCAATTTGCCTTAATTTCATTGGAGGAGAAAGCCAGCCAGCCAGGTTGAAGCCAGTACTTGATGCGAGTGAGCGCTCGTTAGACGATAATGGATGCGTGTAATTGGTGAAGTGCTGATTGCTCCCCCAAAAAAGATTCCATCGGAGGAGAATTTTCTGTTTCATTAAGCCATGGTCAGAAATAATAAGATAGCCATCTGTAGACTGTGAGAGAAAAAGAGAGGGGGCTTGGATATGGAAAGTGCTCATGATCAGAAATGGGAGCAACAACTTCCAGAACTGTTTTATAGTGGTATTTATTGTTAAGATGATAATAACTAAGAGACAGATTGTGGGTTTTGGGGGTGGGGGGGGTTCTTCATTGATTTATCCTCATTTTTACTGTTGTAAAATATCGTCTGTATACTTACTTTTATCTTCACTTCTGTGTTTTCTGTCATTTTCCCTCCGCTCTTAATCACGCAGGCTGAATGTATTTGTTTTTCATTCTGCTATGTGTATACGTCTTCTTGGTTTACAGCCTTAATGTATCATTGGCTGGCTGCACACCAACTGGCTTTTATGGCCCGGGATCTGACACTGTAAAGCATGCTCCGATAGGCATGCAAACGCACACTGATACAGACACTTTAGAGCCACAAGTGCTTACTCATCACACCGCATGGAGGGGAAGCATTGTGAGCCGTTTATGTGCTTTGTTTTTCAATGCCCTGATTACGAAGGAGTGCATGGTCTACAGCTCATGTTTTTGTGCCCCTCTTTCTCTCTATCACTATGTGAGCACATCTTCCTCATTTATTTGTGACAATAGAACAAGAACATGACTCATCCAAGATAAGATAGATGAAGGGTGTGAGTCTTATGGGCCAGAAAATGAAGACAGTAATGGCAGTTCTATAGAAGAAGGTCTGGTGGTGGTTTGTGTGCAAGGAAAGCCCACTATCATTTCCAATCAGCTGCTATGCATGTCATTCTGCATGACTAATGCTGAAATGACATATATCGTTGTCAGATAGGGCATGTTCGCACAGCTGTTTTTTTTTTTTTTTTTTAAATACAGGCATAATAATGACAGCTTTCAACACACACACACACACACACACACACACATTTGTGCACACTAGCTCACTCTTATCTTGCTGGCTGACACCATTTTGCTCTCTAACAATCTTGCTAATTATAATTGTTAATTAATTCTCTGCCAGTGTCCTCATCAGGAGACTAATAACCTACATTTCCATTAATTAGACCTTCAACCCTTCGCTCCCTCTCTCAGTCTCTCCGTCCCACTCCAATCCACCCCTTCGTCCCCTGCCTGCCTGCTTCCCTGCTCCCGCCTGCTGCTCTCTTCTCCCAGGATTGTTCATAGACCACGTGCACACATGGAGTGTGATTAATTGTGTGTGTGTGATTGTGTGTTTGTTGCTTGTATCACTGACATTGCGGGGACAAACATTTGTTTACACAGTCACCTTATAGGGACTCAAATCCCATTGAGGGACAAAAAGCTGCTGTTTTAGGATTAAAGGGATAGTTTGACATTTTGGTGAATATGCGGATTTGCTTCCTTGCCAAGAGTTAGATGGAAAGATTGAGATCATCCTTTCTGTCTTTGTCTGTTGCTGGTATATGTAGCTGGAGCCAGCACCTTGTAAGCTTAGCTTAGCTTAGCATAAAGACTACAAACAGGTGGATGTTTGCCTGGCTCTGACTGAATGCAAAGTTAGAAAATCTGCCTACTGGCACCTCCAAAAGTACACTAATTAACACATTATAGTTGTCCAAGTCTCTGCTGGTTGCCTGGCAACTGGTCTGGCAGATAAACCCCCGAAAAACGGAAAATTGTTCTTTTTACTCTTGTGCACTTGAGTTTTGTACGAATTAAACAAACAAGATATAAGCATTAATGTGTGAGCTTCAGAGGTGCTAGTTAGAGTTTAATTGGACAGAGCCAAGTTTCCCTCTGCTTCCAGTCTTTCTGCTTAGCTAAGCTTAGCTAACCAGCTTCTGGCTCCAGCTACAAATACCAGCTACAGACATGAGAATGATATACATTTTCTCATCTGACCCTTGGTAAGAAAGCGAATAAGTGTAATAAATGTCAAACTATTCCTTTAAGACTTGGTTTATGTATCTTGAATGAATGTAAATCAATACAAGGTCATCCTAAGTGATAAAACAAGTTTCTGTGTGTGTCTGTGTGTGTGTGTGTGTGTGTGTGCCCTAGACGCTATGTGGGCAATCAATGGACAAACAGCCCCTCTCTCTTGGAAACTACTCTTCCCATCAGGCTTAGCTGACCTGGTTTCAGTGCACAGTGGAGCAGTGTTATCATGCCACCACTTGCTCTGATCTCTGAACAAATTACCAATGCAGTGAACATACTGTTACCGCACTGTTGCAGAAAAGATTAACACAGTTGTTTATTTCACAGGCCTGTTGATCCTTCAGTCATCTTGATCTGCTGCAAACTCCATGACTTTTAACAGTTTATCTCCACTTCTAACTATGCTTAACTATCCATTTCTCAGACTCTTTTTGCATGAAGCTCCCTGCTCTTCTCTTCCAGACTAGATACTCTCTCTCCTCTCCGTTTCCTCTCTCCGTCTGGCACTCCAGGAAGTGAGGGACAGTTGGCGCTTGCTTGTCCATACTGTATTGGTGGTGGCAAAATGGCTTCTGTCTCATCATCCGTCCTCCTTCCTCTACCTCCCTCGCCCTCTCCTGAGAGGAGTAACCCAGATTTCAAAATGAATCGCCGCCTATTCCCCTCAATCTCTCTCTCTCTCTCTCTCTCTCTCTTTCTCTCTTCCTCTCTCTCTCTTTCTCTCTCTCCATCTCTCGTCCTCTTCTTAGTAAAAAGAGAATCAATCTTGGAAAGAGAATACCACCTCTCTATCTCGTCCTCCTCCTCACCCTGCCTCTGGGTTAACGGATATATACCACTTTACTCGTCTATCTTTGGTTCCTAGAAAGCTTGAATCTCCCAAAACGTTTGTTGCTTTCTCTTTTTGTTTTAATAGGTTTTTCTTTTTCTTTTTCTTTTTTTGTCTGGTTCTTTCCAACTTCTCGCAGCACTGCTTCTCTTGGTTTTTTTGTCTTGTCTTCCCATCTTTCTCTTTTTTTGAGGTGACCAGCTACAGGTGTGACACCTTAGCCTTTCTTTTGAAGTGAGCCAAACGAAGAGAAGAGAAGGGGGAGAGGAAGAGAAGAAAACTGTCCTGTAGTCGAGCCTTTCCTATAAAATCACCACCAATTCAGGTATTGTGTATATTTTCTTTGCCATGGGTCTGCACACATTTTTAGAACATATTTTTCTTATTATTTGACTCATTTCTGAGCACTGTGCCATTTTACCCACCATTCTCTTCTTCCACCCTTTTGATTGATTTGCTCCTGCTTCTTTGCTGAGACACCATCATTTCATCACTTTTTTTTCTAACATCGGTTTTTGCTATGGGCTTATTTATTTATTCATTAAATCTCTGTTGGTGTTTCATTTATCATTTAGTAGGGTGCAACTCTTGCACCACAATCTCTCCAGCTAATATTTGCCATTTTGCACTTTTTTCAGCACTTCTCATTCCCTATAGACATATACATATTATTCTAGTCCCAACTTTACTAAAGAAATGGGACTAATTGCTAATAAGGGCAGGCAGAAAGTCAAGAGAGGATACAGGCTCTAATATTGGAGCAGGTGGTGGGGGTGTTGTTGACATGGCAACAGGAGGTGCAGTTGACATGACGACCAGGGGATGGAGGGGTATTCATATCTGCTGGGGAGATGGAGATATAAGGGGTTCAGAGAGAGGGAGATGTAGGTAGAAAGGACAGGCAGTATGTGGGACACACAGTGAGTTGCACTAATCGTTTAGCGTCTAGGAGTCTCTTAGGAGAGTTCTGTCTCCGTATGTGAATTAACCTCCCTGTCTCCCTCATTACACCTCTCTTTTCTCTTTCACTCTCATACCTGTCGCTTTCCCTGTGCTCCCCCCATCTTCCTCTGCACTTCCGGTTCATTCATCCTTTCTCGATCTTTCTCTCCAACATGTCACTCCTTCACCGCTCCCTACCCTACCTCCCTTGTGCCATTAATACAACTCCTGTCTCAACCATGACCCAGTACACTTTCCATCCCTCCCCCTCCTCCTTCTCCTCTTCCTCCTCCTCCCTCTCCCTGTCCTTGCTTCCTCCCCTCCTCCCTCTCACATGTTCAAAGTCTTTGCCTATACCCTCCTCACTGACACTCATCATCATCCACTCCCACACTCCCTCCCTCGCTACTCTTCCTACTGTATCCTCCAGGCATCATGTCTACCCCGGTCTCCCCCTCCCCCTCCCTCTCCCCGTTGACACTGGCCTCCCCTACATCGGCAACCTCCCCCGGTGCCTCCCCTCTGCCCTCGCCCCTATCCCCTCCACCCAGGGTGCCCGTGTTCCAGAGGAAGGGAGCGCTCAAACACAAGAGGATTGTGGAAGTTAAAGACCATCAGTTCACGGCCCGCTTCTTCAAACAGCCCACCTTCTGCAGCCACTGCACCGACTTCATCTGGTAACACACACACACACAGCTGCACATTTACACAGAAACCAACCCGGCAGTTCATAAGCCGCCTCCTCAGGCATCCCACTACTCCATCTGACTCTGACTTTATCTGCACTTTTTCTTTCTTTCACCAAATCCAGCTGCCTGCTGGAGAAACTGCCCACACTCTGCAGCCACCACACTGACCTGATCTGATCATATAACCTCACCTCCACACTGCAGCCCACACAATACAAGAGTTACTTCTGGAACTCCATGTTCTCACACACATGCACACACACACATATTAACACATACAGTATACACACAATTAGGACACAGCTTTTCAGTATGAATGCTTGCACACAGAGTTACACTGCATGCAAACATGCACAAACAATTATTCATACCTGAAAGGGGTATTTTAGTAATTTAGTATGTCCTTCCATAAAGCTGGGGGTCAGATTAAAATGAAAATGGTCAAAATTTGCCAAGATGTCCTGACTTGTAGTCTGTAATATGGGCCGAGTTTCAAAAATGCTGGATCCTGCATTCTCATAATTCAGTAACAAGTTTCTGTTACAAGGTTATTTTTCAGATTTCCTCCAGAGCCACAAAACACGTTCTGTAACTGTTTTCACAGGCTGAGTAGTAGTCCTCATGTAATGAGACAACTGAACTTCATGTGTAAAACTGGTGGAGTCACCTGTAGTGCTAATACAAGTGTAGATTTCTGATAAAGTTCGAAAGTAGTAAAATGAACTCAGGTATCAATGGTACTAATTCTAAAATGTACTCTGTTTTGCAGTGTTTTTTTGTTTTGTTTGTTTTTTTAGATTTCTTTGTTAGATTTGAAAGGAGTATTTGTTAAAAGTTGCTCCAGGTGGCGCTAGATCTACAGTACAGTCACTATGTTATTTTATAAACTGCTGGAGTTTACACTCAAGCTGCCCAGTAAAAACCATGTAGCTCCAAATTTGGATTTTTTATTTTAATTTAGTGCTCATGTATGCATTAAGAAAAGTCTCCCACTTCTACAATGATGTGATAAATCATTACAAAAATACAAAACAAGCAAGTTATAAAGTTATGTGGTCACAAAGCTGAAAACAGGGCAGTTTTTTTGCTCATGAAAACTTTGTTGTTTTGGTTTTCACATGACAGGGATATGATATGTTTTTTGCAAATTTGAATCTGCATTTTAAAATTGTAATCCATCCTGTATTTACCTGTGAATGCAGTGGGAAAATGAGTGGGGAGGCATTGTAAACAAACAACAAAGAAGAATAGAAAAGAAAAGAAAGGAAAAATAAGTATTCAAGCAAAGTACCAGTGCCTAAAAACTGTACTGAAGTGCAGTACTTGAATAAATGTATTTTGTTAATGTAAACTTCTGACATACACACGGTTAGTCATGTAAATGTGTCTTCTATACAAACAACCATGCATTGAGCTTGTTCTGTCCAGTGAAGCCTTGGCTGTGTGTATGTAAATGGTTGTGCAACTGTGATGTCTGTGTGTGTGTGTGCCTGTGTTTGTGTGTGTGTGTGTCTGTGTGTTAGTGTGTGTGTGTTTGGAACATATGGTGGGGGTGTATGTTGGATGCAGGGTGTAGCATGTGCCAGCAGCCTCTGGGTAGCTTTCAGGACATTTCTCCAACTGGCTGCTGTCTTGGCAACGGTAGCAGCACTTAGCTCAGGGTGAAAACTCTTTTCCTTCACACAGGATGTCAACCTGGGTGTTAAAGCCCCTGGGGGGGGGGGGAAGAGTGACATTGGTGTCACAACTCAATCTTATGTGTGGTTTAATGTGGGCCTAATAAACAGTTGTTCTTAAAGGACCAGTGTGTTGTATTTATGATCTATTGGCAGAAATTGAATATAGGATTTATGTTTTCATTAATGTAAATAAGAAAATAATCTGTTGGTTTTTTTGTTACCTTTAAATTAGCTCTTCTTATCTACATAGGGAGCAGGTCCTCATCCATGGAGGCCGCCATGTCCCACTGTCGTGTTTCCATAGTAGCCTAGAATGAACAAACACTGGCTCTAGAGAGATCCTTTCACGTTTTTATGCTACCAGAAGGCCACCATAGGTTCTCCTACAAGCTTGGAAAAATAGGGGTGAGTGGAGGGGTATTCAGTTGTTCGATAGATGACACTAAATCCTAACATTTAGGAGGATCTGTTGGATCCATGGGTATATTTTCATTAGTGTATAATCACAACAAATGTTTCTACCATAGCCCAGAATGGACATACCAAACATTGCTGCTAGATAGGGTCGTTGGTGTTTTTCGCGTGTTTTGTGGCCACCGTAGATTCTTAAATAAATGCTACATACTGGTCCTTTAAGAGCTCTGGTTCTAACACTGAACATCACTGAATAAAAACATCCAGTGGTCTCCGGTACTTCAAACAGATCCAAGGACAGATCCTACAGGCATCTTTCACAGCAGATGTTTTGACTTGTCATAGTAGGAAAAGCACAGGTGTTACAAATAACATTACAATAACAAATAACAATAATGGGTCTGTTCCAGGAAGTCATGACGGTGTGACAGTGAACCATCATGCACAATACCAGGACCATGAAACTTAAGCAGCTTAGTGGAATTTTACCATCATTACTTTTCATTTTCATTGATTTGTAATCAACACTTTATAGTCCAGAATGTTTTTCAGTATTCTGGTCAGTTTAATAGCGTGCACCTTTTTATTTAATGGCATATGTTTGGAGAGGTGTTTCAATGCATTGTTAAATTTAAAATGCAGTGAATTCCCTCTGATATCTGGCCAGCAAGCAACACTGTCAGTTCTCTCCAAATCCATATCTGGTTCTCTAATGCTCTCTGCTGGTCAAAAAGCAGAACTGGCCTCATACACTTAATGCTGCAGACAGAGACTTCTGTTGAATGCAGATCAAGGATCAGATTACCCTCTGCAACCCCATCTTTAATTATTACTCATCCAGATGGTGAACTGATTTTAGATCAGTGATTATGGTCAGTTTCCTATGAACCCAAGGGCCTCTCCAGTATAATTGTGGAGGAGTTCTCGGCGATGTCTTGTTCATCTTGCCTTTCTAAACCTCCTAATCAAAAGTTGATTCACAGCAGGCAAGCCGCTGAGTGGACTCTTTAGTCAATCAATGGCTTTAATTATTCAATTAAAGCTCTAAGGAGACACTGGAAACTAGCCAACACCGCAGTTCTGGAAACAGGAGAATTGTGTTTATGTGTGTGTATGTGTATGTGTGACAATAATTGAGACTGTCCTGCTTGACCTGGTCAGCAGTGCAGTTTAGGTACGAAAACTTAAAACTTAATTCAATCTTTACACACGTAATGACTTTGTTTATAAAGTTGGTAGTCTCTGACATAGCTAGTGGTGTTTGTTTTTTGATGAGACAGTTTGTTCTCAACTAATGCAACAGCACTATCTTTGTCTTGGCAGCATTATCTATACTCTTCTGCCTTAAAAAACAGCCTCAGAAGCAAAGTATTTCACCTTAAAGAGGAGTACAGAAGATTGTATTTGTGTCTTAATCTATGTGCCTTTTTCTCTCAGGGGCATCGGCAAACAGGGATTCCAATGTCAAGGTAAAGATACACTCTTCTTATTGTCTTTTTCCACAGTATTTAATCTTCTCATAAGATTTTATCAGTGTGACTGATTAATTTTTTGAGGATATTTTTTTCTATCTTTCCTCTAGTTTGCAGTTTTGTGGTCCACAAAAGATGTCACGAGTTTGTGACCTTCACTTGTCCTGGCTCTGTGACAGGCCCCAAACCAGATGTGAGCATATGTGTCAGCGCTTTCACGTTAACTTGCCTCTTACATTCTTGTTTTCCATTTTCATCATCATCGTCATATTTAGCCATCCGCTCATTGCCAGTAACACATGTGCATGACTCATCCGTCAATCCATACATCCTTCGCATCGCACAGCCTTGTCTCATCTGTGACGTCTGCACTCATGTCATGTCATCTTACAAGGCCTCCCAGATGCAGGGAGTTGGAGATAGAGAGTGGGGGAGATACAGGTGGAGGGTAGGAAGGACTGATAAGAGGGAGAATTAGAGGGGGGAGAGCAACAGACTGCTCAGTCTTCCTTTCTGTGGCATTTTGAGGATTTCAGGGAGATTTGTCTTTTCTTCACGTTTTTTTTCTACCAGCCAAATAAACTGCCTCAGAAATGAGGTCAAGGGGAACATGTGTGTGTGTGTATGTGTACGTGTACGTGAGTTTGAGTGAAAACGGATAAGAGAGTGAAAGGAACACACACAGAGGGAAAAGAGGAGGTGTTTTTAAATAGCAACTCAGAGGGGCGAGGGAAGGAAAACTGTTTGGGAGAAGGTGGAGTGTGGAGTGTGGAGAGCGGTGGTGGTGGGCTCTCTGAGCTGAAGAGAGATAAAAATGATTCATCCCTCTCTGCACAGTGTACACACACACACACACACACACACGTACACACACACACAGCTTTGCCTAGATGCACGCTCATTTATATGTCCTCTCCCAGTGGAGAAATCTAATTGGCTTGTCCATGAATACCCCACTCAACATCTCTCCACTAATCATACTCTGCATGTGTGTAAAAGTGTGTGTGTTCACAGTTTATTCCATGGTCACTCTGTGTATGTGTGTGTGTGTGTGTGTGTGCGTGTGTGTGTGTGAGTTCTCAATGCAGATTGTTTCTGCTATATTTCAGGACCTGAAGAGTCAACACACATTTAAGGTCCAGACTTACTCCAGTCCCACCTTCTGCGACCACTGCGGCTCGTTGCTGTACGGCCTCATACACCAGGGCATGAAATGTTCCAGTGAGTTTCAGCACATATAGCAGTGTAATAAATCTGTGTGTGTGTACTTGTATTAATCATGTTGTGTGGATAAAAGTCAGTTTACACATGAGACCCGTTATGTAGACACACCTCCCAGCTAGGGAAAAAAGCTGGTCCCAGCTAAATTAGCCTCCAAAATTTAGAGTTGGTTACATTTATGTTTCGGGGAATACACAATATTCACTTGCTTGAGTTTAGACTAGGAGTATGTCCAGTATGTACCTTGTAAAAACACAACTTGTCATACATACATTTACACTAAAGGTTTTGTACACACTAAAGAAATTAGATATAACATGTTAATCAGTGAGCTTTAGCGTTGCTGATAGATAAACTTTGTTACCTTCAGCTGTCCTCCTGTCTCCAGACTTTATACTTAATATATAATACATACATATGAGAGTGTATGTGTGTAGTATCAGTCTTCTTATTTAACTCTCAGCAAGAAAGCGGTAAGTGTATTTCCCAGTGTCTTTATGGTTAGGATCAGGTACAGGTGTTTTTCAGTGTCTTGAACTATAACTACTAACATTTTGGTTATGTGGTATTCACCTTAACCATTAGGTCACTAAGACCTAAACATTTTATCATTTTGGAACCAGCTATTTTTATCTTTTGATCTAAAATATGTCACACATGCATGTATTTTTTCTAACTCTAAATACTCTGTATTTATGTACTGTGAGGTTGTGACATGAACGTCCATCGACGGTGTGAGACAAGTGTTCCCAGTCTCTGTGGACAAGACCATACAGAGAAGAGAGGAAGGATCCACCTGACTATCAGAGGAGAGTCTGAGGAAGTCTTTGTAACAGGTGAGAGGACCCGCTGGAATATGGGAAGTAATGTTTTAAAACAAAAAGTAGGATTACACGGGTAATGAAGGATTTCTCACTCTGTACCTTTTATTATTCTACTTTCTCTTCAGTGCGGGAGGCTCGTAACCTGATGCCCATGGATCCAAACGGCCTGTCAGACCCGTATGTTAAACTGAAATTGATTCCGGACCCCAAGAGCCACAGCAAACAGAAGACCAAGACCATCCGCTCAACACTCAATCCCGTCTGGAATGAGAGTTTCACCTTGTGAGTCCTTGTGAACTTTAATCAAGGATGAAAATGTACATGGGTCTGGGACAAGATATGTTTTCAGAAAATAAAATGTCCTGCGAATTGGAAATACTGAGTGTTAAGAAAGGACTCCGAAAGACAAAGAATAGATAGAATATATGGTTGATTGTATCTGAATATATACAGCTTATTGTACATCAACAGTGTTAACATTTGACCTTTTACTACCTTTATATTAGCATTTTTCAGATATTCAGTAGAATTGAGATATTAGGAAATTGCTTCAAAAACAAAATAAATCCTCCTGTGTCTTTGTGCATTGTTGTGTTGCGTAGACAGTGAGCTAACTCTCCCCAGTGACTGTGAGTGTTTGTCTCTCCAGCTCAGTGCGCGGTCACCAGTGGGACAGGCGACTGTCTGTGGAGGTATGGGACTGGGACCGCACATCTAGGAACGATTTCATGGGAGCGCTGTCATTTGGAGTGAGTGAGATCTTCAGGCGTCCTATCAGCGGCTGGTTCAAACTGCTGGCCCAAGATGAGGGAGAGTACTACAACATCCCCGTGCCAGACCCAGACCTGCAGGTAGGAAACTTTACTCCAGTGCAGACGAAAAAAGTAATCAGTTGGTCATCATGGTGAACAAAAAGCAAAAGTGGAGATATTTATACCTCTATTCAGCCCTTTATTTGTTACCATGCTAATTACCATTTATCCTAAGGCCTTGGCATAGCCTTTATCAGCTTATAATTACCTACATCTAATATACAACAGCTGCCACTGCTCACACTGGGTCAGGATCTTGAACTGTCCCTTGGCTTACAATTCTATCTGAGAAAGAAAAAACATGGATGATTTATGCCTGGTGTTATCTAAATAATTAGATAATAAATTATATGAGGTCCCCTCCCTTCCCTGTTACATCCTGTCTCCACCAGGGTGCAGGATTGTTCTGCCTGACCGTAACCTAAAATTAGGGGTAGGAAGGAGTTTTTCTGGTGTTCAGGTTTTGTGTGTGTGTGTGTGTGTGTGTGTGTGTGTGTGTGTGTGTGTGTGTGTGTGTGCGGGGGGGGGGGTGTTGGTGGTGGTGTGTTGTGCTGTGTGGTGTGTGTGTGTGTGTGCTGCATCCAACCATTCATCTCTCAATCCTCCCACTACGATTCTTCAGGAGCCTCAGCCAGACGCCCCAACACCATCCCTGCCTCAAGCGATACCTGTCCCGCTGTCTGAAGTGTTCCCTGTGGCTCTGTCCCCGACCCCTGTACCGTGTCCTCCTGTCCACACCCCAGGCCCTGCCAAAGTCAGAGTGGGCATCCATGACTTCAACTTCCTCATGGTGCTGGGCAAAGGCAGCTTTGGCAAGGTAAACACAGCAGCCACTGAGACCAAATGTCATCTTTTCTGAACACAATCAGAACCTCTTATCCAACAGCTGTAAGTGATATCAAAGAGGCCATTCATGCTTAAAACAACAAAGATCATTCCTGGCTTTAAATTATTTCTTCTATTAATGGACTTGACCTTTAAGTGGCATTTTGTACAGCAGCTCCCGGGCAGAGCAAGGCAGAATTTCTTTGAAAAAAAAAAAAACCCTCTTTTTTTTACTAACACACTCATTGTCTCTCCTACTACTGCCAAATGATTCATTTAACCCTTAGCGTCTTCCTTAGTGTTGTCAGCAGTCGTGAGCTCAGGCTGGCTGGCTTCCTACATGCCACACAAGCAGACAATCCTCCTGGAGGTGTTCATTTCAAGGGAGCCTCTGCTCTCCATTTTCTCTTTAATTCCCCAGTAGATGAGGCATAATGAAGAGAATGGAGTTTTGAGTCCTTCTTCCTCCTCTGAAATCCCCTTGTGCTGTTTCATAACTGTCAGAGGAGAGTCTACAGAAGACAGGAGAAATAGACTCGACTTACGTAAGATGTGAGAAAAAAAAAACGACACAAGAAGGAGAGACAGACCCCGGGGCTGCTGAGTGAGAGGAAGTGAGAAAGAGACAGACAGAGATAGAGAGAAAAAGGAAATGATTACTGTGCTGCAGAAAGTGACAGAATGACCAAAAGGAAAAGGGATAACAAAAGCGGAAATAGAGGAAAAAGTATATGTGACTGTGTTAGTAAGATTTGTAATATTCTGAAGGGTGATGAGTCCCATTTTTATGTGAGACCACGGGGAAGAGCTGGAGACACGATCACAGAGGACGGCAGGATCCTCTCAGTGACTGGCAGTTCATCAATAGCACACACACACACTACACACCCAGCCTTCTTCAGAAGCACCTTTGTGTAGTCACATTGATTTCTGAAAGATGAAACCGTGTAATTTTCTGTATATTCAACCACTATTTGAAAGTAAAATGAGATCCTTTATCCCGCTAGCCAGTGACCATTACAGCACAGCACTGCAGGTTGGCCAGATAATTTTAAACAGTGTTGTTGTCAGCACTTTCCAGTGCTCTTGACCATATCTTTACTATGAACCACAGTAAAACCTGGGTCACGCGGCTCTCATTGTAGAGAATTACTGCATCATTAGAGCAACTCGCTTGCAGCCAATTTCACAGGAGTGTGAAAATAGCCACTGAATGTGTTTTTAATGTCTGATAAAAACATGAGAGCCGCTTCGCTTTTTCATTCATGACATTAACGTGTCTTGAAATCTTCAGGCGTACAGCGGCTTTAATTAAACATTACTTCAGTTATTTCAATATGTCTGGATAAATGTGCACAGTAACCTTCTGAACTTTCTTCAGCATCTGTCCATATATGTTATAACTTTTTTCTCTTGCACTACTTTTCTTACTGCTATATGGATTTTTTGATAATGGACACCAGATATAAGTCCTAGCTTGGCATAAAATCACCAAAATATTGCAAATTTGCCTCAAAAGCACATAATTTTATTAAAACAGCAAGAACTACTTTCCACCCAACTAGAGCACCTTGTAACTCATAACACAATGACCTAAAAAATGTTCAGTACTGGCAGCGTTACAGTACATGGATAATTCTAAAGTTAGAAATGAAGCTTGAGTGAGACATGAATTCAACACATTTTGTGTCAAAGCAATGAAAAACTAAATGATCCCTGCTTTGATGCACAGGCTACTGTTCTGTCATATGCACGAGGAATTTAAAAAAAGTGAATTTTGGAATTGAAAAAGCTTTTTAACCTGTTGTACTCGTCATTCTTTTCTTATCTTCATGCCAGACAGCTGGTGTAGTGTTGACTGTAAATACGCATTGTGTGTATTTATGGACTCCCTTAAAATTCTTATTTTGCTGTTACAGTAACTTTCTCTCCTCTCTGTCTCTGTACAGGTGCTGCTGGCAGAGGAGCGAGGCAGCGAGCGTCTGTTCGCAGTGAAAGTGTTGAAGAAAGACGTTCTCTTCCAGGACGAGGACACGGAGAGCGCCCTGGTGGAGAGGAGGGTTCTGGCGCTTTCCTCTCGCCCTCACTTCCTCACATCACTCTACTGCGCCTTCCAGACTGAGGTGTGTGTGTGTGTGTAGAAGGTCTACTGTGTCCTAAATGAACTGCATAACTTTCATTAAATTGTCCATAAACCTGCCTGACATTTTAGCTGCGCAGCCCTCCGAGGAGTTGTTTCACTCCAGGTTGGCTGAGAATTTTGATTAATAAATTAAATAATTAGCTTGCTTTCTTTAACAAGGTCTTTTGTCCTGGAGGACAGGTTTTAACAGATTGCTTTTTAATTTGGACAAGAGGTGATTATGTATGGAGAGTGTGTGTATATATGTGTGTGTGTCTCCGTGTGTTTCTGCAGGACCGTCTTTATTATGTGATGGAATATGTCAACGGAGGAGACCTGATGTTTCACATCCAGATAGTTGGCAAGTTCAAAGAGCCTCATGCAGCGTATGTAGTCAAAAAGCTCCTTTCTTCTACCTTTAATCACAGTTCTCATCTACATCTTCTCATTTCCTGCCTTTCTTTTATTCCCTGTTCCTTTACATATGCACCCATCTCTTAGCTTTGTTCATTATACCTGGTGACTCATAAAAAATCATCAGCTCAAGTACCAGCTCTCTTCTCTTTCCCGTGACTTTCTCCTCCCACTAATCTCATCCTCTCATCTACATTTTCCCTCCTCCTGGCTGTTCATCTAATCAATAATCTTTGATCAGTCATCTAAAACTAATTCTTACCCTGTTGCTCATTTCTAGCTCTTCATCTTTCTGCTTTTCATCTATTTGGTTACTCTCCCTTTCATCACCCTCTTGAGCTCCATTCCCTCACTCCACGCTGAAAACCTTGGCCAATTTTCTGAAAGATAAAGCTACCAGTAGTGAGTCTCTCCTCCCTCCTCCATCTCTCTCCCTCCAGGTTTTATGCAGCAGAGATAGCGGTCGGCCTCTTCTTCCTCCACAGCAAAGGCATCATCTACAGGTAGAGAATTGGGCTGCTCATCTAACATGGCCTGGTTCGGCACTGTCACTGCTCTGCAGTGCAGCACACAGTCGTGACACAGATTTATCATGTCTTTTGTAGATAATGACTGTTATAAAGATGTTATCTATCAAAATGATTCATGCCAGTGTGATCAATCTCCTCCTTTCCCAGGGATCTAAAGCTGGATAATGTGCTGCTTGACAGTGAGGGCCACATAAAGATAGCTGACTTCGGGATGTGCAGGGAGGGCATGTTTGAGGGCGACACCACGCGCACATTCTGCGGCACCCCTGACTACATCGCCCCTGAGGTACACTGACCCCTGCTCTCATTTCATGGTCCAGACTAACTCCTGAGCTTCCCTCATTTGTTACTTAGATCCCTCATTTCCCCACGTCTCACCCCTGTCTCCCCCTCTTCACTTGCTTGACCTGTTTTGCAGCGCTGTGAGACGGCGAGTTGCTTCGTTGCAGCTCCTCTCATCCCCTCCGTCCTCTCTGACCTTGTCATCATTTTTGAATAATTAACTTCACATGATTCAATTAGCAGTGGTGTGTGTTGTGCTATGAGAATGTTGCATAGAAATGACAATTGTCCTTGAGAGACCTTGTATTACCAGTTTTACCTTTGTCTTACTACAGTTGACAACTTAAGGTGATTAACTCCCACGAAACCAACACAAACCACTAAAACTGAAGAATCTCAAAAGGATTTCATTGATGATGATAACGCAAATTCCAGCCTGAAAACAGCGGAGGTGGTTTAGTTTGACAACCTTTTGAAATGCTAAATATCAAAACTCTGTGCTGTATAATGTTAACCTTACAAATTGTTTTGGATATGTATGTATGTGTTTCTGTCTCAAGTCATCATAAACAAAATATATTCAGAGAGAGAGTAAAGGAGATATCCAGCTTGTTTGCTTTGTGGACTTGTAGGAGACAGAGAGAAAAGATGTAACTGTTGTGCCCATCTTTGATATTGTAAACCTTGCTATGGAACCCCTGGGTATTGACTCTCTTATGTAAACACCAATTGATTCTCCTGCATCTGCCATTTTGGAAGAGATACAATATATTTCCCCAGGGGCTGGGAATTGTTCCCTTGTGCCCTCCCCGCCTCCCCTGAACACGCTCACACACACACACACAAACTGGGGAAACAAACAAACACACAAATCCAAAGTCATGTGCTGATTATTTCTGAGCTCATTCATATATTTACCCTCCCTAATGCCATACTTTCCCTTTTCCTCTCTCTGCTTTTCACTCCGGCACTCTCTGATAGCTGCCTATCATCCGAGCAGCCGACTGCTACAACTGCGCTTTCCCTCACTCTCTCTTTCTACTTCCTTATCTCTGCACACCCATTCTTCCCCTTTATCTCCTCTCCTTTTCTCACCATCCTTTTCAGATTGTGGCATATCAGCCTTATGATAAAGCGGTAGACTGGTGGTCCTATGGAGTACTGCTGTATGAAATGCTGGCAGGACAGGTAATACTCAGCTTAATCCTAACAATAGACCCGTGTGCACACACACTTAAGCCTCCAGTACTTGTCCTTTGTAATCACTTCAAAAGACTTTCAAAAGAACTTTAATTTCAATGTATTTGCTTTCAGTTTGCTCACAGGGCTTCATGGTTACTCTCTTTTTTTCTTCTTTTCTCTACATCTTTTCCTTTCCAGCCACCATTTCCCGTGTATTGAAGAGGAGGAGCTGTTTCAGTCCATTATGGAGCAGTGTGTCTCATACCCGAAAAGTCTCTCTCGTGAAGCTGTTGCTATCTGCAAGGGAGTAAGTCGCCCTTCATCTTTTTCTTACTCATAACTTTTAGGATAAATGTAAATGTAATGTTGTTCTCCCTCTATGGAAAATCTATTCCCTGCAAGGGAAACCATTGACCTTTAGGGTGAAAGGGATAGTTTGACATTTTAGAAAATGTACTTATTTGCTTTCTTGCTGTGACTTGGATGAAAAGATTAATATGACTCTCATCTGTCTGTTAAACATGGTGCTAGAGCCAGCAGCCATTAGTGAGCTTAGAATAAACACTGGTATAGTGGGAAACATCTAGCCTGGCTCTGTCTGAAGGTAAAGCTCACTAATTAACATGTATATATCTAATTTGTTTAATTACTACTTCTACTTCTTGGCCGGGTACAGTGACTTGCTGAAGTTTTGTTGCCAAGGAATACATAATAATAGTTATTGTTACACTTTGGACAGAGCCAGGATAGCTGTTTACAGTCTTTATGCTAAGCTAAGCTAAACCCCTGCTGGCTGTAGCTTCATACTTGCAATACAGACATATGAGTGGGATCAATCTTCTTATTGAATGCTCATATATTTCCAAAAAAGATCACACTTTTCCTTTAAAATGCACACACAATCTGTATAAACGCAGAAAATTTAATTACATGATATTACACTTGAATAATATTTGAAAATACATCAAAGCTTACCATGTACATTGTTAACTACTTAAACAAAATAAGAACATAAACTCTACCCATCATTTTGATAATTTTTTTCTCTCCTATTCTTCACTCTTCCCCAAGCTCCTGACGAAGAACCCGGCCAAGCGTCTTGGTGAAGGAGAAGAAGGAGAGAGAGAAATCAGGGAACATCCATTCTTCCGCTGGATTGACTGGGACCGTCTGGAGAGATTGGAGATCCAGGCGCCCTTCAAACCCAGAACTGTCAGTTGAACAGATGGAAAACAGACTCTATAGATTTGTTTACTTTCTGTCTATCGTTCTTTCGTTCTTTCGTTCTTTCTTTCTTTCTTTCTTTCCTTCTTATCACTCTCCTCTCTACTCCCCCTCTCTTCCTTTCTCTCTGTCTCTGTCTCTCCAAGGACACTTTTAGGGAATTAAAGCTGTCACTTTCTTCCATCTGTCTCTTCTCTCTAAAACTCCCACGCCTTCCCCCATTTCTCTGCATGCTTCCTCTCTCAGCCGTCCACACTGTGTTGGCCATTTCAGCCTTCTCTGCTTCTCTCTGTTCAAATGGCACCATCTCTCCCTCTCTCTCTCTCTCTCCCCCATTCCCCTCTCTTGTCTCTTTTTCATCACCTCCACTGGCTCCTAGAGATGGGCTTTGAGCGTTCAGGAACAGACAGTCTGGTTATAATAGACGGGACCCGCCGACCTTGAGGTCCTGCCTACTCCTCCCATATGCAAATGTATGTCATCATTAGCCTGCCACACGCCAGTTTGCGGCCCTGTTGGCCAATGCTGAGGTGTGCCTTGAGTGAACTGAGTATGCTCAGGGGTTAGAGGCCAGGCCCATTAGCCAAATGAGATTCATATCATCCAGAAGAACGGCTGTCGTACTCTGTTAAGGAGCAGGAAAGGAGACGTGAGCAGCTTTCTTCCAACAGTAGGTGTGGTAGAGAGCTCCTTAGAGAGAAAAGGAGGGTGTGGGTGAGAAAAAGAGAAGCGGAGGTGGTGTCTTTTTATAATTTTACTTTTCTTATGTTGTGTCTTTTTTCAGGAGAAAGATGATGGTGCGTATACAATCAACCACAAATGTTTGAATATGCCTGTTCTCTTCTTCTTCATCAGGGTGGGAAAAAAGGTGAAAATTTCGACAAGTTCTTCACAGCAGCTCCGTCAGTGCTCACCCCGTCTGACCCGGATATACTCGCAGCTATAAATCAGGAAGACTTCCAGGGCTTCTCCTTCCTAAACCCAGACTTTGCCCCATCGCCTCTCACCGCTGTTTGAAAATGGCTCCCCAACCTGCTCCAACAACCCCTCCAAGTGTACCCAAGCTACCCTGTTACCCTCCGTAATAGTAGTTTTATAACAGAATTTGAACTAGCAGTATTAAAGACACCTCTCATAACCAAATCCTAACGTTTACATAAAAATGCCAAGACACCTTTATATTCATGCACTCTCTTTGATGTATGTATTTTATCTTGATAGTCACACAATATGTTGCAGCAATGCAAACAAAGCCAGTATTCTACTATTCCATCTTAGAGTTTTTTGTAAGGCATCCCTTAACTTGATATAAGAGTACTTTAGTATAAACCTGAAAAATGAATCTCTTTGCATGCAATGTTTTTAGAATGAATTCCTCTGACACACTAGTTTTCTATAGCATAGATTAGCCAAGAAAATATACCTGTATAACTTTACAACCAATTAATTTAAAACTTTTCCCATTACATTGATTAGAATCATTTTGTGTTGTAAGAAGACGGTAGGCAAAACAAGTCACTTTTTAATCATTTTGCAGTTCATACACACAAATAAAAATGTTTCTTAGCAGGTATATTCCAGTCGAACATTGCGTTTATACACAGTACAGTAATTCAGCACCAGGAGCACTATAATATGTCTATTCTAAATATCTATCTTACTCTGTTTGTGTGTGTGTGAGTGTTTGACTGTGACGCAAACTGAGCGAGTAGCCTTTTTATTTCATTAGACTGGCAGCCTGTGGATTCCTCTGGCCTGGCCCGGCCTCTCATTTTAACGTCACACTGGTGACCTCAGATGACCCGCTGAGACGCTGAAACAATGCAGCGGGCACAGTTAATGTGACAGTTAATGTGGCTACAGCGCTGCCCCCCAGCTCATGCCCACTCTGTCTGACTCTATTATCACTGAGAGGAAGTCCTCACATTACTGCCACAGTTTGGGCTGCATCATTTCTCTGTTATTGTTTTTTTATAATGTCTCTCTTTTTCTTTAGCAATCTGTAGAATTAGGCCTGTCCACATTGTAATACACAGTGTCTGTGCTCCTTAATGACATCCTACAACTGCACTGTCTTAGAAAATATGCCTCTTAATAATGTTTTCTCCATCTGAAACAAGAAGCTTGTGCAGGTACTTTATTATTTCTGTGGTGTATGCCATAAAGCTTTTTTGCTGTGTAATGACGTACTCACAGCATTGATTAGGCGTAATTAAAAGTGAGGCTCACTGGGACTGTTCAATACATGGAAAAATATTAGCAGCGCTGTCATTAAGCACTATCTGAGCAGGGCAGGTGGCTGCAAACATATAGTTTAATAATCCCATTTCAGTGCTCTTATCTCACAAAACAGCTGGTCATTTCACACAGAAATCTGTTGGATTTTCCTTTAAAGCATCTTAATGATTTTTTTCTTTATAATAATTACAACCATTTTTCGTCCAGAGGAGAAAAATCTGACAGATTTGCTTTGTGTTTGTCACTGTAATAGTGGCCAACTGTAAAAAGTCAGAGCAGTGAATGTGATGACAGCTCAGTTTGAGTGGAGGTCAAATGCCTCACAACACACAATACTTCAATACGATAGATAATGCAATCAATAATAGATAATACAATAGATGATTTATGAATTTATGTATCTGTTAGGTGAGTTAAAGTTCTGTTTTGTATGTGCTGGAGAAAGAACTTGGAAATAAACTGACTGAAAAAAACATGAAACAAGAAGTGTTTCATTCTGTTGATTTTGTGTGAAGCAGCTAAGAAACAAACACGCCAGGCTCACGCTTTGTCTTCTCCACACGCCTCTCTGTCACGCTCACTCCCTCTCCCTCACTTTCACACATACTCACGCTCAAAAGTGCAATCTCAAGCATGTGCGCACACACACACATACACCCTTACACACACACACACAGAAGATGCTGACCCCTCTATTTACTGTACGGTACTGTAGTTGTCGAACCAGCAAAACCACCTCTCAGGATCTCACTTTCACTCCCTCCTCCTCTTCTGAAGCAGCCTTGCACTCTCTCCTCCTCCCCCCTCCTTCAGCCCTGCCCACCTCCCTCCCTCCCTCCCTCCCTCCAGCATCATGATGGGACTAATATCCCCATAGAGATCTCAGTTATAACAAGTTGACCTTCACATTAAAATCTCATCAACTTCCCATCTCCCTCTCTACCTTCCTCCCTTCCTCTCTATCTGCCCTTCATCTCTCATCTTCTCTGTTTTCTGTCAGTGCTGCACTGTAAATGCTTTACTGCATTGTTTTATGTCATTTTCTATAAATCACATTGTCAGGATTTATTGTTGTTGCTATTATCTCTCTGATATACCCCCCGCTGTTGTCTGTTGATACGAGTATCATGTCTTGTCTTGTCCTGGCCTCTGCATCAATATTATGATCTGTTTTACACTCAGTTTATATTCTCTACTGATGGGTTCAGGCAGTGGAAGTGTGAGAGGGATGTGAAGTTTTGTCACATTTTAATTATACAGCTTTTAACTGGAATAAATGGTTATTTTGAAAACATTGTATCGTTGTTTTGAAGGTAAAACATTGCCTGATGTGTGTGTTTGTGTTGCTATAACTCCAAAAACTGTAACAATTCATGTCAAGAAATGTGACTTTTATGTTTCATTTTGATTACCGGCATGATAAAATGTTAATGTAGATATCTTTCATAGTGGCACATGAGGCTCTTTAAAAGTCTGTTGTGTGTTTCCAACAATACAATAGTGTCAAATAGATGGATTTCGAACTTCAATATGGCATTTTAAAGAAAATAAATATGTAACGCCACATTTCTGAAAGGATAAATGATAAATGAGTTTGAGTTTAAATGAGATACATTTTTATTTATTTATTTTTTGACATGGTGTACACCTGATGTCGACTGCCTGGTTTTAAACTCCTCACCACAACCTTTACTCCAACCTTGACAGTATCTGCCTTTGTGTAACCGAACCTCCAGCGCTCTCTGCTCGTAGTTGTGTGTGCAGTCCATCATTCACTGTCACTTTGACATGATATCATCCCTCTTCTTCACTGCTGCATCCTCTTCCTCTATCTCTACCTCTTTCTCGCTCACTCTTCCATCTCTTCCTCTCTCTCTTGCTCATGCCCTGAGGTCAGAGTGTGCTGTAGACTATTGATATCGTTACTAAAAATATAGGATTCCTCCACCAGCCAGCTAAAAATAGACCAAGGGACATGGACCACAGGAGACAAAGGCGGAGGGGGCAAGAGGAAGACGAAGGATGAAGAGAGAAAAGGAACAAAGAGAAAGAGAGATCACTAGCTGTGCCATTTTACTGGCACTCATCTGCACTCATAACGTGGGGTTAAATGAAAGAAAGAGTTGAATGAACTACAGCTACTTTCTATTTGATACCTAATACTGTAAATCTGTGTCATTTGGATTTAAGTTTGCAACTTGCAAAGTCATTTATCCATGTCTTTTTTTCTTGACTTTTTCAAAGTATATTTTGCTTTATTGGCATGATCACAATTAGGTACAGTATAGCCAATGCATGATACAAGCTTATAAGCTTTACAATAGAAGTAAAATAATTCCAAAAATACAGGAAAACAGGCAAGAAATGGTCTCAAGCACCTTTTCTAGAAAGTAAGAGCAATTCTGTGTTTTACTATGATTTTAATAATGTGATTATAATAAGAAGGTACTAAAACAATTAAGACTTATACAAAAAAGACTTATAAACAGGAGAGATATAAATTATTAAAATGTAATTATAAAACCAATTTGTTTGTACATAACTGCACTACTGTGTGTAAACTGAACAACACACACACATACACACACCTACACCACATTACACAACAATTACTGCATATTACACTGTAATGAAAGAAAAATAATTGAAAAAAGGATATATGTGATAGGATGAGAAATAGTAGCTCTCCCCCCACTCTCTCTCGCTCTCTCTCTCTGTCTGTCTTCTCTCCTCTCTCCTCTCTCTACTCTCCAGACGTTGTCTATTTGCTGCGGGGGGCGCCACTCTCGCTCTCTGCTCTCTTCGAATATCACGTCGTCGTCTCTCTCGCAGCGTCGACTGGCAGCTCACGCGCCGGCTCGTCGTCTCCCTCTCCTCGTTTTCCCAGACGCGCTGTCTCCCTTCGGGCTGCCCGGTCCCGTATGTCTCCTGTTTGGTTGTATCCAACATGTAGCCTCGCTGAGTAGCAAGGTCCACCCGCCCAGCTGGCCTGGGACAGATTGGAGTGAAAGAGGAGGTTGGAGTATTTAGAGGAGTGGTTAAGGGGGGCTTGAAGGAAAAAAACACAGGAAGAGAGCAGGAGGGGTGAGGGAGAGGAGCAGAGAGAAGGAGAGATGAGAGAGAGAGAGGGAAGACCAGAAAATCCACCAAGCCCTGCCCCGCTGTGGAGCTTCTTGGGCCTAGCTGACGTGTGCGCGCACGACGCGTTGGCGGGTGAGCTATGGTTTTTTTCTGCATTTCTAAACTAACTACATTATTGTGCTTGTTGGCATGTAATTCGGCTGACGATTGGACGCCTTTTCAGACCTGCATCTGGAGTCATTTAGAAATGTGCTGTGTTTTGTGTCATGGGGGTTCGTCGTGTGTGTGTGTGTGTGTGATGATCAGCTGGCGAAAAGAGCAGCATTCAGTAACGTTCGCGTGTCCTCATGTCGGTTTCTAAAAAGACAGT